CAGAGAGGCAGGCAGAGAGAGAGGAAGGGAAGCAGGCTCCCCGCTGAGCAGAGAGCCCGATGTGGGATTCGATCCCAGGACCCTGAGATCATGACCTGAGCCAAAGGCAGCGGCTTAACCCACTGAACCACCCAGGCGCCCCTACAGCACCCTTTCTTGATCAAAACTCTTCAAAGTTGTAGGGATAGAGGTACATACCTCAATATCATCAAAGCCATCTATGAAAAACCCACCATGAATATCATTCTCAATGGAGAAAAACTGAGCGCTTTCCCCCTAAGGTCAGGAACACGGCAGGGATGTCCATTATCACCACTGCTAGTCAACATAGTACTAGAAGTCTTAGCCTCAGCAATCAGACAACAAAAACAAATTAAAGGCATCCAAATCATCAAAGAAGAAGTCAAACTATTCCTCTTTGCAGATGATATGATACTTTATGTGGAAACCCAAAAGACTCCACTCCAAATCTGCTAGAACTTGTATAGGAATTCAGTAAAGTATCAGGATATAAAATCAATGCACAGAAATCAGTTGCATTTCTATCCACCAAAAACAAGACAGAAGAAAGAGAAATTAAGGAGTCAATCCTACTTATAATTGCACCCAAAACCATAAGATAACCTAGGAATAAAACTAACCAAAGAGGCAAAGAATCTGTACTCAGAAAACTATAAAGTACTCATGAAAGAAATTGAGGAATACACAAAGAAATGGAAAAACATTCCATGCTCATGGATTGGAAGAACAAATATTGTGAAAATGTCTATGCTACCTAAAGCAATCTACACGTTTAATGCAATACCTATCAAAATCCCATCCATTTTTTCCAAAGAAATGGAATAAATAATCCTAAAATTTATATGGAACCAGAAAAGACCTCGAATAGCCAGAGGAATGTTGAAAAAGAAAGCCAAAGTTGGTGGCATCACAATTCCAGACTTCAAGCTCTATTACAAAGCTGTCATCATCAAGACGGTATGGTACTGGCACACAGACACATAGATCAATGGAACAGAATAGAAAGCCCAGAAATAGACCCTCAACTCTATGGTCAACTAATCTTTGACAAAGCAGGAAAGAATGTCCAATGGAAAAAAGACAGTCTCTTCAACAAATGGTGTTGGGAAAATTGGACAGCCACATGCAGAAAAATGAAACTGGACCATTTCCTTACACCACATATGAAAATAGACTCAAAATGGATGAAGGACCTCTGGAGACCAATGTGAGAAAGGAATCCTTGAGGAGAACACAGGCAGCAACCTCTTTGACCTCAGCCTCGGCAACGTCTTCCTAGAAACATCACCAAAGGCAAGGGAAGCAAGTGCAAAAGTGAACTACTGGGACTTCATCAAGATCAAAAGCTTTTGCACAGCAAAGGAAACAGTTAACAAAACCAAAAGACAACTGACAGAATGGGGGAAGATACTTGCAAACAACATATCAGATGAAGGGCTAGTATCCAAAATCTAAAAAGAACTTAGCAAATTCAACACCCAAAGAACAAATAATCCAATCAAGAAATGGGCAGAGGACATGAACAGACATTTCTGCAAAGAAGACATCCAGATGGCCAACAGACACATGAAAAAGTGCTCCACGTCACTCGGCATCAGGGAAATACACATCAAAATCACAGTGAGATACCGCCTCACACCAGTCAGAGTGGCTAAAATTAACAAGTCAGGAAATGACAGATGCTGGGGAGGATGCAGAGAAAGGGGAACCCTCCTACACTGTTGGTGGGAATGTAAGCTGGTGCAGCCTCTCTGGAAAACAGCATGGAGGTTCCTCAAAAAGTTGAAAATAGAGCTACTCTACGACCCAGCAATCGCACTACTGGGTATTTACCCTAAAGATACAAACGTAGTGATCCGAAGGGGCACGTGCACCCGAATGTTTATAGCAGCAATGTCTACAATAGCCAAACTATGGAAAGAATCTAGATGTCCATCAACAGATGAATGGATAAAGAAGATGTGGTATATATACACAATGGAATACTATGCAGCCATCAAAAGAAAAATGAAATCTTGCCATTTGTGATGACATGGATGGAACTAGACTGTATTATGCTGAGTGAAATAAGTCCATCAGAGAAAGACTATTATTATATGAGGAATATGATATGAGGAAGTTGAGAGGCAATGTGGGGAGCTTGGGGGGTAGGAAAGGAATAAATGAAACAAGATGGGATCGGGAGGGAGACAAACCATAAGAGACTCTTTTTTTTTTTTTTAAGATTTTATTTGTTTATTTGACAGACAGAGTTCACAAGTAGGCAGAGAGGCAGGCAGAGAGGCAGGCAGAGAGGCAGGCAGAGAGAGAGAGAGAGGGAAGCAGGCTCCCTGCTGAGCAGAGAGCCCGATGCGGGACTCGATCCCAGGAACCTGAGATCATGACCTGAGCCGAAGGCAGCGGCCCAACCCACTGAGCCACCCAGGCACCCACCATAAGAGACTCTTAATCTCACAAAACAAACTGAGGGTTGTTGGGGGGAGGGGGGTAGGGAGAGGGTGGTGGGGTGACGGACATTGAGGAAGGTATGTGCTATGGTGAGGCCTTGGAGTGTGTAAGCCTGACGGTTCACAGACCTGTACCCGTGGGGCTAATAATACATTATAGGTTAATAAAAAAATAAAAAATTAGAAAAAAAATTAAAAAAAAGTCATATGGAACCACAGAAGACCCCTAATAGCCAAAGCAACTTTGAAAAAGAAAAACAAAGCTGGAAGCGTCATAATTCTGGACTTCAAGTTATATTACAAAGCTGTAGTAATCAAAACAGTATGGTACTGGTACAAAAATGGAAACATGGGCTAAATGGAACAGAATAGAAAACCCAGAAATGGACCCACAACTATAAGGTCAACTAATCTTCCTCAGAGCAGGAAAGAATGTTAATGGAAAAAAGACGGTCTCTTCAACAAACAGCGTTGGGAAAACTGGACAGCCACATGCAGAAGAATGAACTGGACTGCTTTCTTTCACCACACACAAACCTAGCCTCAAAAACAAAGACCTAAATGTGAGACCTGAAACCATAAAAATCCTAGAAGAGAGCACGGGGGATAATTTCTCTGACATCGGCCATCACAACCTGTTTCTAGATCTGTCTCCTGAGGCAAGGGAAACAAAACCCAATATAAATTATCAAGTCTTCACCAAAATAAAACCTTCTGCACAGGGAAGGAAACAACCAACAAAACTAAAAGGCAGCTATGGAGTAGAAGATATTTGCAAATAACATCTTTGATTAAAGGGTTTGTATCCAAAATATGTAAAGAACTTCTAAAACTCAACATCTTCCCCCCAAGAAAAATCCAATTGAAAAGTGGGCAGAAGTGACAGACAGACATTTTTTCAAAGAAGACATCCCAGCGGCCAAGAGATGCTCAACATCACCTCCGACCCGCCGGTCCCATCGCACCTGACAGAGCGGCCGACACCACCAGAGACGATGCGTGCTGGTGAGCATGTGGAGAAAGGGCAGCCCTCTTGGACCATGGGTGGGAGTGCAGCCTCTCTGGAGAACTCTGCGGAGGTTCCTCAGATGGTTAAAAGTACAACTGCCCTCCCACCCAGCAGCTGCACTACTGGGTATTTACCCAACGGGACACGAAAACCCCAATTCAAAGGGATACATACACCTTGGATGCTTCTAGTGGTGTTATCAACAGCAAACTGTGGAAAGAGCCCAGGTGTCCATCAACAGAAGAACGCAAAAAGAAGGCGCGCTGCTTGCATGCAGTGGAATCCTATGCAGTCGTCAGAAAGAGAATTTAGTGATTCATCACTTACGTACAACACCCAAAAACCATGAGACCTCGTCATGAGATCTGGCCGCCTGCCATCTGCAATCATGTGGACGGAGCACAATAAATCCGAGAAAGACAAATACCCCATGATTTCACTCATTTCTGGAATTTAAGATGAACATAGGACAGGTGGGAGAAACAGAGAGAGGGACCCAAACCATAAGAGACTCTTAGCAACAGAGAACACACTGAGGGTCGCTGGCGGAAGGTGGGTGGACGGTGGGCCAGATGGGGGATGGTTAGGCACTTGGGATGAGCACTGGGAAAAACTAAAAATAGATAAAATTAGATTGTGGGAAGAGTTGCATAATTCCATGCATATACTAAAAATCATTGACACGGTTTGATAAATGATTTGTATGGGACATGAACTATGTCTCAGTAAAGTTGCTTTTGAAAGAAAGAAAGAGAAAGAAAACATCTAGACTATCACTTCTTGAAATTCCAAAAAGTAAAAGTGCAATAAAGAGTGAAGAACAAAAAAAGACCTGTGGGGCAACATCAGTGTGTGTAATCAAAATCCTAGAACAAGGGGAGAGAATGAGGCAGAATAAAAAATTTCAAGAAATAATAAATGAAAATTTCCTGAATTTGGTGATAGACATAAATTTAAACATTCAAGTTCAGCCCCACCTAAGAGGATAAAGATAAAGAAAACCATGCCTAGTCACATTCCTTTCAATTTGGTGAAAAGAAAGAGAAAATCTTGGAAGTAACTAAAGGAAAATGACACATTTTCTACAGATGAACAATTATGTGAATTACAACAAACTTTTCATCAGAAACTGTGGAGACCAGAAGACAACAGAAGACACCTTTAAAGGGCTGGGAAAACAAACGAAGGCCTTCTGTAAGCCAGAATTCTGTATCCAGCAAAAAAACCTTTAAGAATGAAGGCAAAATAGTTTTTAGATAAAAGAGAAAGAAGCAAGAAGAGGAGAGAAAACAAATGAGGTGGAGAAGAAAAATCAGATTTTTACAAGTTTTCTGTTTTCACACTCTTTAGGGCCCTGCAGAAACTGAAGGGACCAGTGATGGGTTTTCAGGCTCTTACTTATACGGATGCAGCCTGAATTCACATAAAGCTTTTAGTATGTTTTATCTCATCTACGTGTCCTAACACTTAAGTTTATGTATCACCCAGAGTCATATCTAATCCTGAGGGTCTAAAGCCGCTACCTGAGTTGTTCCATCCTTGTCAGGCCTAAACTCCGATTCTTTATTCACCAACAGCACGATACTATGAATTATGGGAGGAGACGTGCTCTGAAATAAGAAAGAAATACTGATTAGCTTTGTAACATTTAACTGATGTCATGAAATTGTCTAACTTGATGGCTGCTACTTCTGCTTTGATATTTTCCCCAAGTACCTAGAAGGTATAAAATGTAACTGCCTTTGCTCTCAATGGACATTATTTGACCTTATAAATTTTTAGTGATCAAGTTTGTTGGTTATAATTTATAGATAATAAAATGCACCCCCTCAAATAGAGAGTTCTCTTAATTTTGACAGAACTTATAGTCATGGAACCACCATCACAGTCAAGACATATACAGCGGTTTAGCAGCCCCCAATTTCCCGAAGCTCCTCTGGCAAGCCCCCTGGCCTCTGGCAGTTACTGATCTGTTTCCTGCGTCCGTAAATTTGTCTTGTTCAGATATCATACACACGGCCTCACGCAGCACTGGCTGCTTTCACTTAGCACAGAGCACCTGCCACTCGGCCAAGCCGTGGGGGCTCCTGGTTCGTTCCTTTCTACGGGAGAAGTCCCCGGCCCGCAGGTGTTACAGCTCCCCCACCACTCGCCAGCTAGAGGACGTCTGGCTTGTCTCCAGTTTGTGGCAACCGTAGACAAAGCCCCTATAAACTGCATGTGAAGGTAAGTTTTCATTTCTCCTGGGTAAACATCTAGTGGTAGGATTGCGGGGTCTCGTGGCAAGTGTGTTCTAACTTCTGAAGAATCTGGAGTGGTTGCGCCATTTGCATTTCCATGAGCAATACCGAGCCCTCGCTACTGGCAAGTTTGCTGTGTTACCTCATTTTGGCTACAAGTTGTGTTTCTCCAGTGATTACTGGTGTTGAACATACGTTTACATGCTTCTCTGCCGTTCGTATATCTTCTTGGGTCAAGTGTGTTCAAATCTTGGCCGTATTTCACTGGGTTGTTTACCTTGTTGCCGAGTTCTGGGATTTTGTATACTTCAGACACAAGTTCTTTATCAGATCTGTGTTTTGCATACGTTGTTCCCAACTCCTGGCTTGTATTTTCATTTTAGTGACAGTGTCTTTTGAAGAAAAGTTTTCAAAATTTTGATGAAGTCTACCGTATCATAGTTTTCTTTATGGGTCACGGTGCTGCTGTCACAGCTGAGGCATCTTGGCCAGATGAAGGTCCTGAAGACCTTCTCCTGTTTCCTTCTGGTGGTTCTTAGTTGTGCACATGGGTCTGGGATCCACTTGTGATTTTTGTGCACGGAATGAGGCATGTGTTCCATCCTGGGGTTCCAACCCTGTTTTGTTTTGTTTTGTTTGGACATGTTTTTTAACTTTAAACAAACCTCCTTGACTTCTGTTTGCTAGATTACACTGAGGTCAGATCACTCAACAATAAAATTATTTTATTTTCATAGTGTTTGCTTTCATAGTGTTTGCATAGTATTTTCATAGTGTTTCATAGTGTTCACTCGTATTTTCTAAAGCTTTAATTTTTAAGTTTCTTGTAGGGATAAACAGACTTTAGACTTTTGGTAACCCCCAATAGTGATCCCCTATTTGACTGGATAGGCCTCCAAAATAACCAGTACTTAATTTGTATTAAATTAATCTAATCTATTTACATTTTTGTTATGTGGCTTCTTGTGAATGACATTCCATAAACATTCATTTCATGAATCATAAACATTCAGTCGATGAGTAAAAGCCGTAGAAAACCAGAGAAAAAACATTCCTGCTTTTTTATTTGAGTCATTTTCTATTTCTCTCACTCAGTTTAGGTCAACTCTTCAGTTATGAATTAAGACTACACGGTTTTGTGAAGTGTCTCATATTTCTCATACATCCCTACTTGAGTGATTTTTACGGTTAGGACTTGTTGCTACCGCGGAGGAGATGGGTGTGAATTTTCAGACAGGTGAGAACACAGTCTGTGCCTTAGGACGAGTGTCCGTATCAGCGTGTAGAAGTTACGTGCTGTGGGTGGGGTAGGGATAAGTAATTCTTAGCATTTTCTTCCACCATGAAATGAAAAAAACCATCATTTCCTTTTCAAGATGGAAATCTTATGTATTGGAACTTTAATGATTTAATAAATTTGAAGTATCGTCACTGGAGGCAGTTAGGAGACTCTACTTTTTGCCCTGTACAGAAAAATTTCACTACTTCTGTATATTCCTCAGAAATAAAACTGAAAATGGAAGCATGACCCTTAAATTCGGCTTATCTCCAGTCACCTGGCTCGGGTTACAGCTCCTGTATTGCCTGAGCCACAGCCGGGGTGGTGGGAGGCCACCACCTGAAGGAGGGGCCCCCAGACCTCAGGGCAGTCTGAACGTCGCACGCGGAGGAGGGAGAAGAGTGGATTTCCTGGCGTTCCTTCGAAGATCCACTTGCAACAGAAACTTAAAGATGCAGCAGACGCCTCTCCAGCTTCTGCTCTGGGAGAAGTGTGGGCAGAGGGGGACCGTCCTACTCAGGGCTCATTCCACCGCGTGGGACCCGAGTGGCACAGGACTTAAGGGAAGCCCGAAGAAACAGAAGGGCTGGGTGTTCTCACCCAGGAAAAAGGTAGGTGGTTCCGTGGGCAGCCGCAGGGCTCGGGGGCCACGCGTGCGGTGGGCCGGGGTCTCGCACACACTGGCATGAGTGGCTGCTAAGCATGTGCATCAACAGGTAGGGCTCAGGCGTCGCTCTTTGGGGCTGGACAGTTAATTTTCAAGTTTTTATGGGATGCCCAAGAAGTCAAGGCCACCCCAGTCCTCTGGCTCCTGGGAATTCCTGCAAAGCCGCAGATGTGCCTCAGTGCCCCAGGTCTGTGACCTGTTTGCTCTTGGTCCTGCACACGACACACACAGCACGGCACGGTGAGGAGCCCACAGGCAGCTGCAGGCTCGGCTTTCTTCCTGGCCCCCACGTGACCTCGCACGAGGCCAGGGCCACATGGGGCACTTGTCGGGGGGTGGCGGTGGTGACCCTGACCCTCCACACCAGCCCCACGCGGGACATTGTCGTGCGTCTGCCTGGGTGTCTGCCCGTGGTCCTCGAGCCCCGCACCAGGAGAGCAGCCCCAGCCCGGCCTCCGTGGCCTCCCCGCACCCTGGCCATGCAGCGCAGACCACAGACCGGAGGGGCCCAGTGAGGAGCCCGTGGAGCCTGAGGCACCAGCGCCACCTGCTAACCCCAGAGCACCTCGTCCTGGGCCCAGCAGCAAGACACTGCATTCCCAGCTTCCCCCCTCATCTGAAACTTGTCCAGGGCGGCAATGGCCTCAGTGGCCACGGTGACTGGTAGGAGCGCCATCCGGGGCTGGCAAAGGGTCTAGGGAGGAGGGAGTGCAGGGATCCTACCCACCGCCGGCTGCCCCCGGGGGCTGAAGGCGGAAGGATTGAGGAGAGCAGAGCAGCGGGGAGGCCGGGGGAGGCCGAGGAGGGGCTGCTCCTGAAGGCAGGGTCCGTGGGGCGCGGCCCGGAGGGTCTGGAGCTGTGGATGCTCGAGCCCGGCTAACGGCCACACGCTGCTCCCAGCGGGCACGTAAGGCAGGTGGAATGTTTCCAGAATCTGGTCACAAGTCTGGTGGCAGCTTCAAAACCACTTCAGCAACAGCAACAATTTAGTTCAGCTTCAGAAACAAGCTCTTTTTCTCCGTGTTTCCACAAGCTGCTATTTCGAGGGTGCCGAGCCGACCGGTGTGCGGTGGCCGGATCAAACATCTGCTCCCGAGAGTGTGCGTCTGAGACCCTAACAGCCCTTCTCCTCTGTCCCCCGTGGACGCCGTGACCAGGCTCCAGATGGAAGACCTTCCTCCGCAGTCACAGGACTCTGAGGAGCCCTGCCATTGCCCACGCAGCCCTTCCTCCTTGGAGCAGAGAGTCCTTCAGAATCCGTCTGAAAAGCCGTCTTCCCCTACTTTCCCAGAAGGCTTCCGGTAACTTCTGTCTTTGCTGCTCTATGAAACTGCACGTGGTTAAGAGAAACCAGAATCTCAGCGGGCGTTCAAAGCCCACGCAGAATATGAACATCAAACCGGATGACCGATGTCCAGCCCAGCGGCCGGTTGAGAGCAGGGGAGGAGCACTAAGGGGTTTATGCACCTTCCGGGTGTTCCGTGGAAACTGAGTTTCGGCAGGTCAAACCTGTCGTGCCGTGTTAGAGGCGCTAACTCGGGCTTTCCTCCTGCTGAGAGCCTGGTTCTGCCTCTGAAACGCAGACTTCCGCACGGAGGTCCGCTCCGAGGGCCGCGACGGCACCGCTGGGTCGGCCCCCTCCTCCTCGGCGTCCGCCCCTTCACCTCTGCGTCCGACAGGAGCTGCCCCCTGCCAGGGGCCCTGACCGGGATGCCTGCTCCTGTCAGCCCGTCCCGCCACGCCCCCACCTCCACCTGCCCCCACAGCCCCTGCCCCGTGCACGGCCTGCCTGCCGGGGCTCTTCTCTCCTTTCCCCACATGCCGCTCTCCGGTGTATTGACCGCACTTCCATCCAGGTGGGCATCGACCTGCACCACGGAGTCCTTCCTTGAAAGAACTTCCACGTGGCATCCCTACACATGGGAACCTGGATGAAGCCGTGACGGGATGCCGACACCCTTAGCAGAGACCCAACAGAGGGAACAGGCGTTCACTGAGGGGGAAGGGGGACCTCGGACTCCAGCACAGCGCTTGGCCTGTGAAGGCCCCTGTGTACACATGTCTGAGGGAGCGAAAACCCTCTCGGGCGCCCACCTGGCCCTGGGTCCCTGGAGCATCCCCGGTGGTGCCTTCCTCCCTGTTCCAGGGACTCCCACTTCCCTCTTGGTTCTACTCACGTCCCCAGATCCAGGTCAGGTCTTCCCAGGGTGACGCAAACCTGCCACACCCTCCCTGGACCTCACCCCAGAGGTGGGCAGGTCCATACCTGCCCCACGGCACAGGCCCTCCTCCCCACGGCACGCACAGCTCCATCCCTGTTTGAGGAGACGCGGCGTGAACCGCTGTATGCTGATTTCGTCAGGCACCAGATAAGGACTGCTGTGGAGGGGAGGCACGGTGGATGGGTGCAGGGCCCAGCTCTTCCTCTGCTACCTTCCACGGCCATGCTCGGGACCCTCAGCTCACCCCGAGAGTCACACTGGGGGTGAGTCCCGGCACGGCTGCGCTCAGCTGCTCCTGGGTCATGAGGGAGCCCCGAGATGCTCGGTGCCCTGAGGACAGGAGTCACCCGGACTCACCTGCAGCCCTGCCAGAGCCTGGAAGAGAGCAGGGGCAGCTGGACCCTCACGAGCGTCCACCACGACGACCAGCCCCAGCTCCCGCACCTCCTTCCTGGGGGGAGAGACGGTCAGTGTTAGCCACTGCGGGTAAAATCTCTTCCATGGTGTGGGTCGTCATCTCCAGGTGAGACGCACCCTCGCCCAGATGCCCTTGGCTCCCCCGTCCCTGACACACATCAGCCTGCTGCTTCCCGAGGCACCGAGCTGCGTACAAGGTGTGGACAGGGCATCTGGGGTCATGCTGGGGCAGTCGTGTCCGGTGGCCGCTCCAGACAAGGGGAGCTGGCTGCTGTCCCTCCCTCGCGGCCCCATCGCGAGCGGAGGCCCTGGGGCTGTCCTGGGCTGGGCTTGTTCGGGCTGCAGCACCACAGGGACCCGAATCTGATGGAGCGGACCAGAACCACACGTGGCCGTGGGGCTCAGGACTACGGCCCCAGACCCGTCATTCGGCTCCCCACATGTCCGGAGCTGGTGTGGGAGAGCAGAACATCCTCTAAAGGGGAGAAAACTGCCAGGTTCTTGTGACACCTCTGCATACCAGCTCTGTCCCCACTGTGATCAGGATCGTAAGCTTCCATTCTAACCGTGGCACAGCGATCGGCTGGAGCGAGGTGGCCTGTCCAGTCCCACCTTCCCGGAGGGACTGGTGTGCCGCCTCGGCCGTGTGCGTGGGAGCTGGGCTTGCACAGACGGGCACACGCGCTCTGGCCCGCTCGCACACAGCGAACGGAGCCGCAGGCCAACCAAAGCCCTATCCTGACCGGAAGGGTGCGTGTGCCCCCAGGCCCAGGAGTGTTCAGTGTCGGGGGAGACTGTTCAGGGCTGCTCCAGAAGGGGGGTTCGTCTCGGGGAAGCTGGTGTCGTAAGGACAGCGAGGACGCCGCTGATCTGATGTCAAAGCCAGACGCAGAAAAGGCGAGGCTGGGAAAAGTCCCCACTCCCCCCTCCCTCAGCTGGCCAGCTGTGCGCCCACGCCTCCCTGCCACGGAGGCCGCTCTGTGACCCACGTGGCCGGGAGCAGGCCTGGGCGGTGCTGTCAGGAGCTGGGCACGATTTGCGACTTCCTCCGAGGGTCCTGTGTCCCTCCTCACCCCCCTCCCCCGTGACCTCCCTCTTCTAACTTCCAGTCCTGGCCTCTCCTTCCACTGCTCCCCTGTGGTCTCATGGCCACCCTGGCTGGTTCAGCTTGGGACGTTACCCCCGGTGGCTCCAGACCCGCATGTCCTCCTCCACCGGCCCCATCCACTTGGTAGCTTTGCTGAAGGGGAAGGCTGCAGAGTGAACGAGCCCGCCCCTCCGTGAGGGCTGCTTCCCAAGTTCAGAGACAGTGGAACCCCCTAGGCGGGTGGAGGGGGAGCCCAGGACCTGGAGTTCAGCTAGCATAGGATGAGACGGGAGGAGATGCCCCAGCATGACCCCCCAGCCCAAATTTGCTTCTCTCCACCTGTCGCCTATGGGGGATGGAGCTGGCTGGCCTCCCTGGGCTCCACTGGGGCCCCTGGCCATGGTCATATCTGCCCTAGAATGCCCGGGCCCGCATTTCTGCAAGAATCCCACGCCGTGTCCCTGGGTCACCTTGGCTTCACCACCGGAGGTCTGCGTGGCCTTCAAGCCCGGGCCCCCCCACCTGGTTGGCCCCCTCCCTCTTGCCTCCTGCCTCGGGAAGTGATCGGCTGCGGCTCTGTGTGTGCTCCTCCTCCTGTGCAGAATGTTCTTCCTGTCTTGTCTGCAATCACGCGTGTCCCTCAGGACACAGAGCACACCCGGGAGGCCCCACCCCTGGCCGCGGCTGCAGCCCCTTCCAGCATTGTGGGCTTGTCTTATGCTGGGAGATCCAACAACTTGGGTTCCCATGTGTGTCCCCTGGAGGGCAGGAGCCACAGCCTGTTCTTTGCTGTACTTTCCTGTAAGTGCTGGGTGGACGGACGGATAACAGCCAAGACCCACTCTGACTTTAAGATTCCGAGTATCTGAGAGTCTGATGGCAGCCCGTGTACCAGGCAGGCTCCCAGGAGCACACTGCTCCCTGTGACGCAGCGGGCGTCACCGGCGACCAGACGTGGCTGGGCACGCTCCCTCATAATTAATGCCGACACCTGGGGGACTTCATTCTGGCAGCTGAAGGCAGCTGTCCCATCCCATGAGGTGCCATGGTCAATCAGGGCGCTAACAAACCCCCGTGTTTCGGGGGGAAATGAGCAGCTGACCAGGAGGCTCCTCTGTGAGGTGCCCAAGTGCCTGAGGGCTGGCCAGACTCCTGCTCTGGGCGGGGTGGGCGGCGGGCTGAATTTCCTGTGGGAAAGGCAGAGGGCTCCAGATCTGGGTCAAGTCTTGGTCTCCAACCCCACAGATCAACTCCACTATTGGTGCTTGGCTGTGGGGTGCAGAGGACAGCACTCAGCCCAGCAGGCTGGCCAGGCCGAGCAGGCAGAAGGGTGTGAACTCTACAAACTACAGAAAGCTGCTGTCCTGTCCATCAGGGCTGCTCTGCACGTCTGCCCTGAGGTCATTCTAGAGCCTCCCGTGAAAGGAAGCCATTGGTAAACAGAAAACGCCATTATCTTAGAGCTTTGGCGTTTACTTGAGGCTTATAAGCTGAGGCAAGGATGAATCTGTATTTTTTTTCAGGGTATTTCTTTATATTTGAAGTCTGTGCTGAAAGGTAAGTTTGAAACCCCAGGCTCACCCAAGGCAGTGAAACGAGGGCCCTCAGATAACTGGGAACCTTGCTCTGGGAGAGGGGTGTCAGGGAGCACACTTTCTTTTCCTCCCTAATTGTTCCCACATGGAATCTGCCTACACTATTTTGGAAGAAATCCCAGCAGCAAGTTCACGTGCCATAGGTAGCACGAGGTCACGTGAGATGAGGTGTCACAAACATATTCCCACGTGAGCTCTTTGTGTCGCTGAGAGGGCACCATGGGCTGCACCATGAGGATGGCGCTCTGGACGTCAGTCTTTGGGCTTTACGCAGACTGTCTCCGATCCCTCTGACACAGCTTTGGGACAGCTGCTACCATCTCTGGTTCTGGGGAGGACGCAGGCTGATGGGGGAACACCAGCTACCCGCCAGGAAGGGTACAGCTGGGATCTGGAGCCAGGCTGTGTGACTGGAACCGAGCTCAGCGGCTGGCAATGCTCCCTCCGCTAAGGGCTGTCTCCATCCAGCACCTCGGGGACTCTTGGTCTGGTGGCCACGAGGGCCGTCCCAAGCACGCCTGCATCGGGTGGCATAAGTAGTATGAAAGAACTCACTTCAGCTGCCCTCAACTCCTGCTCTCCTTTCTCTGTCCTCGGCCCACGAGGGGATCTGAGCCCGTGCTCTGGTGCACACCTGTTCCACACGTTGTCAGGCACGAGCCAGGTGGTATGGCTTCCTAGAATCCCACGTCAGGGAGGACAGGCCCCTCTTAAGGGGCTGGCATGCGCTCTTCCTCGCCCGCGGCATCGCCTAGCTAAATGTAAGAGTCACTTAGCATCAATCAGTCTTTGCTGCTTCTGGGAACCAGGTACTATCACTTGTGTGATTTCTTGACCCACTTATTCTAAATATTCTGTTTGTGTCAGTTAGGTCTTTATCCAGAGCGAGGCGGAGCATAAAAGGTGTACAAACGTAATGCTTACAGCAAGTGCTAACCAATGCAGAGCAACACGAACCTCAAGGCTTGAGTGTGTGTGACCTCGATTCAGTGGGGAGAGGTCAAGGTGAGCAGGGGGAGAGGAAGGCATGCAGGGCAGCCGACGGCCCTGGAAAAGATAGCAGGAGCCTGAGAGGCAGGTGGGAGCCTGCTGACCGGGCCACGGGGGCCCCCAAGATTGCAGACAGAGACCCTCACGTGAGGACATGAGCTCGCACAGGGCTACCCCCAAAGGTCTGAAAGGTGGGAATCTGGCTCAGTCCCACCTGGGGATGCCATGGAAGTACAGCAGCAGGCGGGTCAGCTCGGCGCTGGAGACGTGTTTGCTGGACCAGAGCCGGCCCCTCGTGCAGACCTGCACCACGGCCCTCCCTTGGTGGTCTCGGGTTCCTGCAGAAACAGAGGGCGTCATGAAGGGGCAGCCCCCATGGGGATGTGCATGGCTTCAAGCTTCAGAAGTACTGAGCTAGGGTCTGCAGACTGCTGAGGTATGGTCTTAGATGTGAGATCTGCCAGGAGAGAGGGCCTGGCACTCACCTGGGCAGGTGACAGCTGTGTTCTCCTCAAAGGGCTACTGTGCATTGCTATGGCCTGAATATTTGTGTTTCCCCCAAATCCTTACGTTGAACCCTACCCCGCAGTGTATTCATACGAGGAGCTGGGCCCTTGGGAGGTGCTTACGTTACGAGGGTGGAGCCCCATGAACGGGACCCATGCCTCTTAAGAAAAGACCCCAGAAGGCCCCCCTCACTCCTTCCACCATGTGAGGACACAGTAAAAAGGTGTCAAATGTGAACCAGGAGGAGGAGCCCTTGCTAGAACCCGACTGTGCTGCCCCCTTGATCTTGGACGTCCAGTTTCCCGAACTGGAGAAACACACGTCTGCTGTCTAGTAGGTGCCTCAGGCCCCTTGTCACTCCCGCCAGCGTAGGGTGGCCGTGCTCACCGGGGAGGGTGAGGAGCCCCGACTGCAGGAGCTCCCGGCTGACCTCCAGCACCTGCCTGGGCATCTGGCTGGACACGTCTCCCGTGGTGGGTGGCTGTCCTCCTCCCTCGGGGCACAGCGGCTCAGGCACACCTGCAGCCCCGCCAGGATCGGGCCCACGGTAGGGGCTGCTGTCTGCGTCGGCACCAGCGAGACCTAGTCAAAGACGAAGGGTTTCTCTGGTTTGAAGGCAGCTACTCAGCTTGCCACAAACACAAGGAGGAAATCGTGTGTGAAAATGCTGGGTCCCATGAGAACTTGTCCCACCTCTGGTGGAAAACACCAGTGTCACACCTGTAGGTCAGGCGCATTCCTGGGCAGTCAGGCAAGAACGAACACATAAAAATGGAACATTCCAGCGGCACCAAGACTGCTCACCACGTAAAAACACTTCAGGGAGAAAATTTTTATACTGAATAATGTCATCCTAATTTATTTTCTCACACAGATTTCCCAGAGTGTCACAAAATATATCCATAGGGGCTGAGACCACCCTGAGGGCAGGCCGCAGTTGGGGTTGTGTTGCCCTCACCCAGGTTGGGGGGACCTGGATCTCCTGCGCCACCCTGAAGAGGAGGGCTCATGTTTGTGCACCAGCTTGGAGGAGACAGCAGATGCCCAGGCTTGTGGTCTTGCCGCTCAGCCGTGTTTCCACGCTGCACCTCATGGGGGATGAGCCACACGGCACAAAGAACGAGCGGATTCAACCCCAGCCTTGCAGCGCCCAGGGCCTGTGTCACCCTAGTGAGGGGAGAGATGGTCTTGCCCAGAACTGGAGGGCACCTGAGACCCTGTGGGTACCCTGAACCCATCCGGCTTTGCTTTCCTGCCCCTCAGCCTCTTCCTGAACTTATAGTCCTAAGGTCTTTCAACTCTGTTAAGAGCTTTCTCATTCTAGCTGGAAAAGCTAGAAAAGCCCCCAGCATTCTGTATATAGATATAATCTATCTATATCTATATATCTATTTTAAAAACAACTTTGGGGTGTCTGGGTGGCTCAGTCAGTTAAGAATCTGACTCTTGATCTCAACTCAGGTCTTGATCTCAGGGTCATGAGTTCAAGTCCCACCTTGGGCCCCACACTCGGCGTGGAGCCTGCTTTAAAAAAATAATTTTAAAATAGATTTTATTTGTTTATTTGAGAGAGAGAGAATGAGAGTGAGAGAGAGCATGAGAGTGGAGAGGTCAGAGGGAGAAGCAGACTTCCCGATGAGCAGGGAGCCCGATGTGGGACTTGATCCTGGGACTCCAGGATTATGACCTGAGCCAAAGGCAGTTGCTTAACCAACTGAGCCATCCAGGTGCCCCCCAAAAATAATTTAAAAAATAAAGTAAAACAACTTTATTACATATATTTTACGTATAATTAAACTCACTCATTTCAAGTATATAATTAAGAGGATTTTAGCAACTTTACCAAGTGGTGCAACTACTATCGCAGGTCAGTTTTAGAACATTTCTATCCATCCAGAAGGACCCCGCCCACCCTGGTGACCACCTGTGCTCTTTCTGTCCTGGACCATTCATACAAACGGAAGCAGACAGTACCGGCGTCTCTCGTGTCTGATTTCTTTCTCTCAGCACAACTGCCTTTGAGGTTCACCCCTGACGTCTCCGGGGTGAGTATCATTCCTTTCGTGGGTCTCACCCCACGGTGTAGGGGACCACATTTTGTCTGTCCCTTCACCAGCTGATTGGTTATGCCGCACAGTATCCTTGAGAATGAATATTTTCATGTATGCTCACGTAGTTTCTAGAACACATCAGCACCACTGGTAAAATTTTGAGGTGCCCAAGTGTTCTACAGTTTTAATTCTGCACCGACCTCAAGCTTCCTCACTTGGATGAGGGAGCAAACAACACATTCATGTGGACTTTTCTTACTAGACGGCTTCCTAGCTGGGGAGGTGATTCATGGGGCTCTTCCTGAATTCAGCTCGCAGACCCTGGGAGAGGACAGGAGCGCTCTGAGGTCCCTCGGGCTACAGCTTTAACGTGGCCAGGAAGAACAGCAGTGCCCTCCTGTGGCTCATCGAGAAACAGCTGTTCAGTCGCCACTGGATGAATGAAGATGATATTCTTGAAATAAACTGAAATGTCACATTTAGTGTTTTGAAATTACATCGATTTTATGTCAAAGAAGAGACAAAGCAAAGCCTCAGGAGCTGGAGCAAATCGGAATAGCGGGAAGCGAATTGGAGCAGGAAAGAAGCAGCAGGAACAGGGGAGAACCAGAGGGAGCAGCAGGAGCAGCAGGAACAGGGGAGAACCAGAGGGAGCAGCAGCAGGAACAGAGGAGAACCAGAGGGAGCAGCAGGAGCAGCAGGAACAGAGGAACAACGTCTGTGCTGCGGAGGAGTGAGGATACTAATGGTTGCCTGCTCAGCCGCGGCTTCGGCAGGATGCTCCAGCTCAGGCATTTTCCTATGTTGATGAAGACAGGAGTTCTAGGGCCACACCACAGACTGCACTCCAGGGACAAGTGTGTGTCCGGGCAGCAAGGATGGAGGGGAAGGTCTGTATCCACAAGCCCCTGGCTACCCACTGGGTGACCAATCTGCCCAGGCCTCTGGGGCTGCTGCCCAGCTACTCAGGGGTGGAAGCACTGTCCTCTTATCCACAGGATCCCCCTTCTTCCATGGCTCTGGGAAATCCGCAGGAGGGGCCAGGAGGGGCCGGTGGGGGAAGAATGGAAGCTCCCAGGAGGAGAACTCCCCACGCCAGGGGAGGGAGATAAGACTTCGCTCCCACCAGCCCGCAGGGCTCACTCATGTGGAGCGTCTGGAGCTGAGGCACAGCCCATCAGGCCCCCAGAGAAATGACTACTTGAGAATGCCACGTCTCAGACGACAAGACTGGCACCTGCAGGGGCACTCCGTGACACACAGGGAGCCAGCAGGCCAAACCTGGCTTCCCCACGGTGGCACTGGTTTGTACGAGCGAAACCCACCGCCTCCTGACGCCAGGTACCTTGGGCGCCGTCCGACCACGCGTCCCGTGCTGCTGCCCTGTCCGGGGAGACGGAGCCTGCATGTCCACGGACGGTGCCTGCACGGCGGGCGCTTCTCCCTACAGAGACTAGTACTCGACTCCGTTTCCGAGTGAGGCTCATGGTGAAGACACAGGCTGTCTCCTCGCTGACACTAGCTGCAGACGTGAGTGGAAAACTCACGTGTCAACTGGCGTTTTCTCCCCAATGCAAACAGGAAAGCTTCGGCCTTGAAACAATGTTCAGGGAGTCATCGCTTCAACTTCAACTGCAGGGGTGAATGTTCTTAGAAAGTGCTAACCCCAAGCCAGCAGCTTCACCACAACTTTCTGTGGTGAGTTTCTGTGTGCTCTACGCCGTACGGATCCCGTCAGAATTTCAGGCGGGGGCCGGCACCCTCATGTCGGGAGCAGCAGGCCCACCCAGGGCTGTGAGCGAGAGCGAGTGCCCCGCTGGCCTGGGCGGGCAGGCCGGATGCCGCCCACCTCCCGCCCCGTGCCGGGTGCAAGGCTCACCCACCCTCTGAGGCCTGTTCTTTACCACCTCCGAAGTCCCTGCTTTCGTTCTTCACAGAACATTGCTGTGGTCAAAAATGGGAAATATCTGACCTAGGAAATATGTGGTCGTTCCTCCCTTTCCATTCTCGATGCCACACTTCTGGAAACAACTGTGTTCTCCCTCCAGAGCGACATGGGAGACACCTCCAGCAGGAAGGGGACTGTCCGGCAGGCTGTGCGGGCCACCGGGGTCTGTGCAATTCGGAGCCGGTGTTGGTGACCACAAGCATCCAACATACCCAGAGAAAAGGAGCGGCCATGCAACGTGGCAGGGGGAGCGGTGACCCCAAAAGGCCGGGTCTGCCCAGAACCTGTGAGCATCACCTTACTTGGAAAAGGATCTTTGCAGGTGTGCATGATGAAGTGGATGGCGGATGCTGAACCCAAAGCTGGGTGTCCTCGTGAGAGAAAGGAGGGGAAGTCTTGATGGACAGAGACATGGGCCGAAGATGTTTGGGTGGGGGGAGCCCTGTGGCTGGAAGGACACTTCCCTAGAGCCTCTGAAGGGAGAACAGCCCTGCCAGGGCCTTGATTTCATACTGCTGGCCCCAGAACCAATGGGAAAGATGTCTGAAGTCACCTGGTCTGTGGAATTTGCTGTGGCAGCTGCAGACACGGAGCACGTGTGAACGCCCTTTCCAACAGTCGATGTGGATGGGGACACAGGCTTCTCCCAGGTCAACTGACCGGAGGAGAGGTACGGTGTGGCAAGGAAGAAGGCAGGAGGGGACATAGTGGGGGAGGGGTGCAGGGGCAGGGGTGGGGAGGAGTGGGAAGGGCCCGGGGCCGGACATTACCTGGACTCTGGGCCCCGGTGTGGGGTGAGCGGCCGGAGCGTGCGCTTCTGGTCCCCTCAGCTTGTCCTCCTGAGTGACCTCCCAGCCTGCAGGCGACTGAGTGGTGGGAGGACCGCCGGGTGTCGCCTCGCCGGCTCCTGAGGGACCTGTCCCAGGACCGAGACCTCCTGGGAAGGGTGGTCCTTGTGGCTCCTGGACATTTTTCCTGACTTGGGATCCCCATGGAGTCTCCCCATGGGCTGGGCGTTTCCTTTGGGGCTGGGCTGGCTGTTGTCCTGGCCCCCATGGTCTGGGAGCTGCAGGCCTCGTCTCCAAGGGACTCTTCAGAACTGGAGCCCAGGGGCATGGGGTTCCGCAGCGCCTCCATGTAGGACGTCCTGAACCAACGTTTGCTCTCCACGCTGGCTGGGTCCCTGGGCAACTGCCTTCTGGAGCTTGGGCTACCCATGTCCTCACCGACAGTGAGGGACTGGGGGCTGTCCCTTTTGTCTGTGGCGTCCAGGCTCCTTCTTGGTCCTTCCCGTGGGCCCAGCTCTGAGGGCCCAACCCCTACAAGGCCTCCGTTGGAGCTCCCAAACGGGCTCCGAGGGCCTTCCCACCCAGCTCTTCCTGGAGAAGGTTGGAAGCTGGGCTGGTCACCGCCAGGATGCCTCTGGCAGTGGGGCAGGGCTGCGGTGCTACTGGAAGGGGTGGCCTCCCGGGGATGGGTGTTGGCCACCACTGACACCGGGGCCAGAGCCGTTGAGGTGCTTTGTGGGGGCGGCCACTCAGGCCCGGGACAGCTGCAGTGGGGCAGGGCAGTTCTGAATGTAGGTACAAAGATGGGGTCTGTGACACTGCTCCATGGGGTGCGGAAGACGGCAGAGCCTGAGGTCAGCAAGCAGTTTTGTAAGGGGACACTGGTCCGCTCCCCGTTCAGCCATTCCAGAAACTCTCCTGTGAAGACGCAGCTGTACATGGCCTCCGGGACAGTGACTTCCTCTGAGCCCCGTCCAAGCTGGGAGAGGCATTTTAAAACCAGTCTGGCTGACTGCTTCCGCCCTGACGTGACCTGCAGGTAGAAGTCCCCAGGCCTGAGCCTGACTCCGCGGAGGGATGCGAGCTGCACCACCACCTTCTCACGGACGCACAGCGGCCAGCCTTCATGCACGAAGATGAGGCCTGTGTACCTGGCCTGGGACGAGAGAGGGAAGGAGGTTAGACCTCTGTGGGAGCTCCCTGTGGGAGGCAGGGGGGACGTGGGCTGCGGGACAGGAGAAAGTCATGGGGGGACCGTCCAGGAGGTCCCAGCACAGGCAGCTGGGGGTTCTGGTGAGAGTCTCTCCTGGGAGCTGTCCCCACCCGGGGGAGGGGCTGGGCCTCGCACTCTCTCCACACCAGCCTCAGTCTAATCTCCACGGCCCTTCCGGCTTTCCCAGGCAACCACAGGCAGGCCCCCAGGAGGAGGGCTACTTCTGGAATCACAGGGTCGGGGGGCACCACAAGAGGATGGTGGGACCCATGTGGACACCAACAGTATTGGCTATAGGCTCCTGCCCAATGTGATGGGGTCCTTCACCTAGTGCGACGGGGCCCAGGAACTTCGCAGCTCGGCTGTGGATCGTGTGGGGCGGCTGTGAAGCGCATCTCTGAAAAGAACCGGCTGCGGAAAAGGTTCAGGCTGCAGGACTAAGGCTAAGGCAGACACAGGCGGCATCTGACAGGGGCGTGAGAATGTCCAGCAGTCTGGGGAACAAGGCGTGGGACCCCTGACGTGTCGGGAGCCGCACCTGCAGGTCCCAACCTGGGACCGCCTTCTCCCGCACCAACTCAGTCACCACACAGCTTGCTTCTCCCCACTCTAGCACTCTTCTTGCACAAACATTATTATTATAATAGAGGAGATGAAAAAAAGTAGCCTCATTCTGATCCATCTCAAGCTCTGTGGCTTCCCTTTCCCTTGTGCATGCATGACACACTCCTCTAACCCGCGGTCACAACGCACACATGGCCCCGCGAACCGCCCTCACCGTCGCGGTCCTGCTGGGGCTTGCCTGTCCTCCGCGGTTGGGGATCTACCGTGCTTCTAGCTCTTTCTACCCTAAACAAAATGCAGGCAATGTTTCCCTGATACCATCTCTTTTTCCTTTAAATTATTGTTTTAGAAAACATTTCTGGGATTAGGGTTAAGGATGAAAGATCACTAATGTCTCTCCGGCTTCTCGACAGTGTTGACCACTCTGCTGCCCAGAGACCCGCCCGCTGTCAGCGGCGACGAGTCCATGTGACGGCGTCACCAGGGCTCCTTGGCTTGCGGCTCTCCACTGAGGAGTCTCATTCTAAATTAGTATATAGACTGTGGATACTGTTGTTTTAATTTGCATTTTGATGTGTTTCTTTTCCTTAAAGCTTCTGTATGTATTTTTGTTCCTTTTATGGACTGTGGCCTTGTTTTTACCTTTTTCGTGTTGTGAGGTTTTTAAAAAAAATTTAACAAAACAATAATTTTTTTGTCCTCACCATTAGCAAAAGTTTGCCTGTGTTGTGCATTTACTTGTTTTATAGTCATGTTCCTTTCCTTTCTGTAGAAGCTTACGTTTTACACAGTTGAATTTCTTGAATTCTGTGATATCTTTTCTTTCCTTACAACTTAAGTGTTTAAAATCTTACCAAAGGTTGCCTCTTGCATTTATTTTATATTAGTTTGCCTCAGAGTCGAGGTCTAGAAAACAGTGTTGTCATCCATCTGGAGTTGGAAACCATACCATGAATAACTGTATGTCCCCAAGAGCCAAGGCCTCGTTACTGGGGTTCCTGCCCCGCACGCCCTGGGCTGTAGGAAGGGGCCACCGTCCAGCCTTCTGGGAGCCCACGGCGGGGGCGGGGGGCAGGGTCCGGCACAGACGCAGCTCGTACTTGACAGGCACCTGAGGCCGTACTTAACTAAAAATTCCAATTTTCAAACTGCAAAATAATACCCGTGTATTGCAAAACCTGGAGGGTTCAGAAAGAAAGTAACAATCCCAACATCAACCCCCAGAGGTCAGTGTTGGTGACATTTATGTGTGTTTCGTGTCATTATTTTCCCCGTGTATATCTAATGGTTGCAAGCGCATCACAAACGTACAAGAGTGCATGGTAACAGCATTTCCTGTGCTGTGAGAAACTCTTCACACAGACCGTTGTTAGACACATAACCCCCCCCCCGCAGTTTTGCTCTAATTAAAACACCAAGCCCATCGTTGGGACTGGAGCCCCACCTGGGGGTCAGATACTTCTGCAGGATCTGAGGCCACAGAAGTTGAAGGGTGTGGCCATGTGGGGCACCTGGGAGGCCCCCTCGGGCACACAGGTGTGGCCAGTGTCCTTGCTGTGTGAGCAGAGCCTGCCCCATCCTGGACACGAAGATCCTGGAATCGTCCCTCCCTGGGTCTAGCAGCGACGAGAATTCCAAGGGCCACCGTGGAGAGAAGTTCAACGTGAGCTGTGGTCTAAAGGTGTGCAGGGGCCCAGGAACGAGCTTCATGACAGAAAGTTCTGGAAGCAGAGGGTCCAAGGCCAACGGTCACTAGAAGGGGCCCCCTTCCTGGAGGTTCTACGTGGACTCAGCGTGGAGAGTGTGGGAGGGCTGTGTAGCTCTGGCACCCCCCACCCCGGCCTCTCTTCCGTCCAGATCCCACAGGGCATGGCTGGGAGAAGCCTTGAGGCCGGGGTGGTGCCTCCGGGCCACTCGGCTTTGCTCCTTGCCTGCCGGCCGGCTGCAACTACTCTGGAGTGGAGCTGCAGCCCCACCAGCAGTGGTTGCATCAGGTGGCAGGGTGCCCAGTGTCTGCTGCTGGCACCATCAGTCCCCGCTGTGGGACGCGGATGCCGTGCCATGGCCTTGAGCAGCTGACTGGGACAACGTGACCGTCTTCAACCAGTACTCTGCACGCATCATGGCATCGAACCCTGACCCCGTGAGATCCTCTGGGCCTCAGGTCACAAGATGCCTGGTGACTCTCGGCGATGGAGAGGACGAACTCTCCCCCAGCGAAACGGGAAGGAGACAAGTCCCACAGCCAGAGCAGAGGCTCAGCGACCCCTTCAAGAACCAGGTGCTCTCGTTTCAGAGCCGCTGTATACTCGTGTTTCATCCCGGTGCTGGTCACTGTACAGGGTCATGGCACAGGGGTGGCTGCCTCAGCCTCACGAGCAAGTTTCCGTACCCGAGCAGGGAAAAGTGGCTTCACGTGTGCTTCCTTTCGAGAGGAACACGTTTTCGTAAGCATCTCACCCCCAGCAGACATCTTTTTATCTGTCGCTGGCAATAAGGGAGCCAGTGATCGCCCCCGGTTACAGGGCACGCTGGGAAGGTGGATGTCTCTGCTGTGGGAGGCAGCAGGAGATGCGGGCCGGAGTGACCATAAGCTGCCTGCCGATACGCGTCCACTGCAGGTAGGTGCTGTTACCACCTCCTCCGCAGACGAACAAAACCAAGCATCAGAGCGATGGCTGGTCTGGGTCTCATAGAGCTTGAGACCCTGCATCGTTCCTCCCCCAGAGCCTGTGGTCTTCACCCCTGTCCAGGACTGCTGAGCACGGACACCCCGACAGTCCCAGTGTAGGCTGATGAGTGGTGAGCGCCGACTACCGCGGGGTCGCAGAGGACAGAGATTCTGCGCAGGCTCGGTCAGGGGCAGGAGCTGGAGAGCAGAGCGGTGGCTGTCCTGGCCTGTGAGAGGTAGCGGGACTTCAGCCAGGTGCAAGGGAACCGGAACGGGGAGGGCGGCCCAGGGATGCGTGAACGTGGAGGATGGGACGGTGCATGGATGGATCATGGCCCTCTGGGCTGTAAGATGAATTTGTCTCTGGTTGCTGGGAAGCCTGGAGGAGAGAAGCTTCAGACCTGGTCCAAGTAGGGGCCTCAAAGCTGTCACTGGCGCTCTGTTTCTCTCCCTTGGCCCACTTGGCTTCGCTGTGCAGACAGGCCGGGTCAAGGTGCAAATCCTCCTGACACAGGAAGCGAGTAGCAGGAGGATTTCTTGTTCTCGGCATCTTGACACGAGCCCGGGAACACCAACGGGGTGTCTCAGGCCGTTCAAGCTGCTGTAACAAAAATACCATAGATGGGGTAACTTTGAAAACACAGAAATTTCTTTCTCACTCTCCTGGAGCCTGGGAGTCCAGGATCAAGGGTTGGCAGGTGTGTTGTCTGGTCAGGGCCAGCTTCCTGGTTCAAAAATGACCAGATTTTGCCGTGTCCTCGCACGTGGCAGAAGGAGCAAGGGTGCTCTCTGGACAAGGCAAGAATGGGGTTGACTGAGCCGCTTCCCAAAGGCCCCACTTGGTAACGCCATCGCAGCGGAAGCGAGGGTTCACCAGACACGTTTCGTGGGGGACACAAACATTCAGTCCGTAGCAAGTAGATCCTGCGCCCACACAGACATCATGTGACCCTGTACGTAATGATATATTTCTGGGCTCCCTACTGTGTCCCACTGGCTACTTGGACTCTCTTGAGATTCCGCAGGAATTTTAGGATAGAGTTTTCTATTTCTGCAAAAGACATTGCTGTGACTTTGAGAGAGATGGCATTGAGTCTGCACATCACTTTGGGTGCTACTGTCACCCTAACAGTGTTGAACCCTCCAGCCCACGAACGCAGGGTTTTTCCCTGTCTCAGCCCTTCCTGTATTTTCCTTCAGCGACATTCTGCAGTTGTCCGCATGGAAGTCTTTCATGTCTTTGTTTAAATTTATTCCGAGGTATCTTACTCCTTTGGAAGCTACGACAAATTATTTTTAGTTTATTTTTGAAAGAGTTTATGTATTTATGAGAGAGAGAAAGAGAGAGCGCGTGCACATGCGTGAGCACAGGGAGGTAAAGGTTACAAGCAGACTGGGCTAAGGGGGGTGCCTGACCTCACAACCTTGAGATCATGACTTGAGGTGAAACGAAGAACCAGAGGCTTAAATGACCAGGCATCCTACTTTTTTTAAAGAAAGATTTTATTGATTGATTGATCGATTGATTGATTTAGAGAGCACATGTGCTTGAGCAAGGGGAGGGGCAGAGGGAGAGGGAGAGAGAGTGTCTCCAGTAGAGTCTGGGCCGACTTGTCTGACAGTAAGACCACCACCTAGCTTTCCCATGTGTAATGGAATATCTTTTCCTGTCACCCTTTGCATGTCTTTATATTCACAGAGCATTCCT